TTATTATTGACAAGGGCTATCCACCTGTAACTATCTGTTAATGACAAAAACATCATCGCCGCTGTGCCTTTTCATCAAAAAATTGTAGAAGAGAACTTTTTTGATATAAAAAATTTTCGTAATTTGAAGCAACGATGGTAATTTTTCTTTTTGAATGCTTAAGTATTCCAATATCCTACCAATTAAACATGGAACAATTTCAAAATAATGCTGAATAACAAAGATTAAATTCGATTTTCAACTGTTAATATCTTCTAGATCCTCAAGGGAGCCTCTATAACCTCTTAAAAGGAATGACGCCAATTTTGAATCACCCTGTATACAATTTCTGCGTTTTTGATCAACTGATTATTGCCATTTTTTTAATTTTCATATTTTATTTAACATTTTGTTTTTTTATAGTAAAGTCTATGCTATGGAAAGCTTCTCTTACTATATCATCTTCTTGCTTCAGGGAACTTTGAATATATTTCTTTTCTTCTTTGGTAATCCTTGGGTGCTTAGCTGGACTGTCATGCCCGAAAAATAGCCATAATATGCACCAAAGGAATCCGACTAATGAAAGTATATAGAAGGAATACGTCCATCCCCACCAACTTGCAGATATGTATCCAGTTAATAGAGTGGAATAAATACCACCAATGGCGACACCTGAGGAATAAAAATATCATGCGTTTTTCCCAAATAACTGGTCGAGTTTTTAAGATATGATAATGAACTTTCTATAGTTGATAGTGCGTAGCATTCAACCTTTCAATCTTGAAAATAATCTTATGTAGATACTGTGTTTATTATTACAGCAAATAGTATAATACATAATTCAAAATACATACATTTCCCAAATAGAAAAATAAATAATACTCACAAAGACACCACCAGGGTACCTTGGCTTGAAATGTTGCAAACTTTTTGTTTGATATATCGCTTAGGACAACAGCAAAATAAGAATGTAAAAATGTGGTAACATTCAAACATTCAAATAGAATTAGTGAGTGTTTTTTAAAAACGCAATTTTCGGAAACCAAACACTACATTCTACTTGAACGACGGCATGGAAACTTTGAGAATTTCTTAATCGCGCACATGTAAATACAAGTAAATAACTTAATACTTTGTCCAAATGTTTCGACATTTTTTAAATGATAAACACTCTTCAATTGCGGTGGACGACTTACACTACTTATGAAACAATTTTTATGAAAATTCTTTCGAATCTAAGTGTTTCAGTTGTGTCAAATCTATCCAAACCGTGTATTTCGGGACGAGTTGACTCTCGATAAGCTTTGGTTTATAAAGAAATATAAATCTAACTAGCCTGCCACTAAAGAATCAAAATATCTTGGAATGATCATCAGATAAATTGTCTATAAGTGATGAACATTTCTGGTGTTGCCAAATAATTTAAAATATTGGAAAATCACCTAAAAGATTGACGCGTTTTGACTCGGTGCCGAATTTGCATATGCATAATGAAGGAATTAATATGACCGATTTCACTCACCTGCAAATATGAGATTATTTAAAGTGGCTCGTTCTTCTTTTGGTATCCAAGTGCCCATCATCACTTGAATAGAAGGATATAAAAAGCCTTGACACATGCCCTGGACGATTCTGCATGCAATCACACCATGTGAACCCAGACGGGCAGCGGAAAATGGAATAGCCGCACATGCAAAGAAATTTAAAAGAGATGTTCCAAACAGAAAATATTTCGGGCCATATTTTCTTCCTAAGTGACCTGCCAAAACTTGTAGCGAAATGTAGGTCCAAAAGAAAGATGATATTATTACGCTTGTATTATTCCAATCGTAAGTCTGAAAAAATGGAATTATTTATTATACAACTGATATTATAGTATCAAATCTTTGTAGTCAAACATCATAACCAGAAAATGTACTTTTTGATTGAAAATAAGTTGTTTAAATGCATAGATTTCGTCGATGTTATAAGTGCGGGATGTTCATTTTCTAAATTTCATACCGGAACATTGGGGTTGGGACTTGCATATTTGTCTGTCATAGCCACTACAGCAACTGCTATATTAGTTCTAGTTCCTATTCCAGAAACTAAGGCTAGGCAGAGTAACATTGACTGGACATATCTGCAACCAAATCTTGGCCCTAAAAAATCAAGTATATTAAAGCTCCCATTTTCGTCACGCGCGAGGTGTAATTCCGGTTCGCTGTAGCTCTGATTTTATGCAACATTGTGCGTGGTAGAAGTTATTTTTTAATCCACCCTTTTACCCCTAAAATGGAAATAAGCGTTGGTTCCGTAATTTGCATAAAACGGTAATCTGTCCACGAAATGTGATCTCACTTGAAACACGAATACGTGATTTAAGTGTATCGAAATATTACTCAATTTTGTTAATGCACCTCTTCGCCCTATTACAGGAAATACACCTTTTATGCGGAAATTTCGACCTACCAAATGAATTTTGTCGAACTCTTGAAAAATTGAGATCGTTACCCATATGCGTGCCAATGATGAACATAAAATGCTTAGTTGCATGTCAATAAATGCGCCTAACTACCTCTTAAAATACAACAAACCTCATTCGGTTTCAGAGCAATAACTGCATCGTCAGTTTTTAAGATAAACTTTAACACTCTGTATCTCGGAAACGAATCATAAGCAAACCGTCATTATTTTTCCATGCAGAATTACCCTATGAAATTTGCCGCACTTGTTAACTTACATCCGGTATATTAAAATACTTATATTAACGAACTAAAAATTTAAAATAGAAATCAAACATGAAAAAAAATTGTTTAATGAAGCTTAATTTACTCCGTCATTGTTCTTACTATTTGCGTAAATGTTCTACTTGCTTGTTATGCATTTTCAATATGTGTGTTCCTACTGTGGAAAAACTGGTACCTGTCTGGAAATTAATATTTTGTTTTGTAAACTGTACCTTTGTCGGCTGTTTCAGAGGAGTTTTCATCCACAAAATATTGCTCTTTTGTCAAGTGATCCGTACTTTTCTCCATGACACTTATTCTTCTTCGGGCATTATCTTGTAAAGGCATTTTTTTAAATAAAAAAAAGCAATTTAGCGGATTTGCAAAGTAAACTAATTATCTTAGAAAGGGACCGAATTTAAGTCGTATTTGGTAACTGATATAAAAAAATCTATTCAGCTAATTGGCAGGTATCTCAAGTGTCAGCTATCATATCATATCTGTGATTAATACTCATCTAGAAGTACTCGGCAAAAGTTATGACGGTAGGAAAAAGTCTGAATTTTCTTTGATCTGACCAATTAGCTTGACGAATATAAGGATTATATGGAGGATTTTGGGTACAATGTTGTATAATGTAATAATAATGACTTTTGTGCATATCTTTACACACTTACTAGCAAGGAATGCTAAATATCTTTATTATCATTTATACACGTGGAGATATGTTTGAGATGATAACAAACATAAATAAATTTATTTACCATTAAAAAGGCAATTGACTTTGATACAAAATAAGTCATGGTTTAGCGCTTAGTTTAGTTCGGTGAACAGTAACAACTTTTATTGATACTTACATGCTATCCAAGTTCATTCGTACTGTTGTTTCCGAAGTTATTGAGCGATTCTGGGGTCGATTTCGAAAATTTGTATTTAATTTCCTGTATAATACCCTTTCAAACGATTTAGTTATTAAACATTAGCTTTACTAGCTTGATGATTTTTACGATCCACTGCCACATTTGGTTCTTCTAAATACACCAGGAGTTCAATAGACTTGTAAAATAAAACAGGTTTAACTTTTCAATAAAAACATTTCGCTCTTGGCGATGTGGCAAAAGCATATGAAATGTTGCTGCCAAATTATAACCATGTGCTTTATGTACAGGTGTCCTCAATGGTTCACTGCCGCTGATTTCAACTAATTTATTAATTTTCTCTTGGTCAATACTGTAAATTATTCGAATTATTACAAACACGTTTTGCAGTTTGCTTGATGACTATATGCACAAGCTGTTTTGCGTAATAATTACTTATATTCTTTGTATAATTCTTATTGTAAAACTTATTGCTAATAGGTATATAAATATAAAATCCTTAAATAAAAATCATTAGTGACATTTTTTAATTGTAAAGAAGTAATGGGTTTTAAATTAAAACGTCCTGAGTGTTTCTTCCATGCCTCTGAACATCAGTACAGTTTTGATCACTTAGGTCATACTGATAACCGAAATTTTCTTTTGCCTCACTGAATAAGGTTCATTGGGATCAGCAGGTCCATCCCACGGCTGTCGATCTCCGGATGCAAAAATTACAAAAACTATTGAAGTACCCATAATAATTCCTGCAGTAATTATGAAAACTATCCGCCACTGGGTGATATCAGACTGAAAAAGAAATAATTTGATTAACTGAATTGTAGTGCCAACGCACAATTTGTTGAATGAATTACCTCATGTGTAACTATGAGTTGTACCAAAATTGGAGCAAATAGTCCGATGGATTGGCCAACAGCATTTGAGCTTCCGAAAATTATACCAGCGAATCTTGGAGACAGATCTATCATATTGGTAACATTACCGCACGCCATTGCGGACTGTGATACGTAGATGCAGACCATTAGCAATATGGCCATGTATTTCTGAGACTGATCCAGAAATGATAGGGATACTATGCTTATAGATATTCCGGTACCACCTGAGATTGATCATGTTAATATTGTAGTTATTGGCCTTTAAGTGTAAATGGGAACGAGTCGAGAAACAAACCTATTAAATGAAACAATCTTCTCGAATTGACCGTTGAAAGATAATTGTGCATTATCGCATAATCTGACGCAGGTCCAAAAATCAAGCCAGCTATCAAAGCCATTCCAGGGGGTATAGCGCTATATAACCCGTTCTAAAATAAATTTTATACAGTTTTGCAAAATCTGCTATATAAAATTGCATAGTTTCTTAAACCCTTAATGTAACGTACTGATTTTATATCAAAATTCATAACTTTGTCTAGATATGACGCATATTCCGTTAATGCCATATTATTGGACCACGCTATGCCTATTTGAGCAACCTCATTACACAACACCGGTACAGATGTGGCCATTTGTTTTAAAGGAATAGGAACTTCCTAAGAAAAAAATAATTATAAATCTCATTATTGTGAGTTGATGGACTTCTACCGTTGTATGTTCTTGATTGAGCGACATTTGAATATACCGCTTTTCTTCAGCAGTAATTTTTGGGTGGCTGGCAGGGCTGTTTCTGCCAAACACCAGGAAAAGAACACACCACAGCATGCCCATTGCACCTATCACGTAGAATGAAGATGGCCAACCCCACCATGTGGTTGAAAGATAACCGGGAATAATGGACGATAACATGGATCCAATAGTGCTTCCTAAAAACCAATTATTATATTGTCACTGGGTGATTTAATATTTCGACATTCTCAAATGATACTTGGATCAAAATCTTCAAATTATTTTATTTATTTATTATTATTAAAGTGTGGCTTTGTTTACTATGCAACTTTCAGAACACGTCCGGTTCTTGTTTAATTAGGTATGGAAGAAGCAACTGCTAAATTGACTAGCAAAGTGAGTACATAGTTAATAGAAACCTTAATGAACGGAAAAATTTGCCTCCCTGCAGAAAGTTATTAATTCTGGTATAAAAATGTTTTTGTTTATGTGCTTTGAAACTTTTTGTGTTGTGTCACAACCTTTTTAGACATCAAAGCAGAACTAAGCGGGAATTTTATTAAATTTTTTAATTTTTAGATTTTCAAAATATTTTATTACATTAACTTACATTTTCAGTTTGCGTTTTTGCTTCCTCTCATTATTGTCTGTAATTTACTATTTGATAGATGTCAAATAGCTTTATCCTTATTAAATCAATATTGTAACTTTTTTCAAGTATTGAATCTTAAGCCATTTGAGGACGTGCCGAAGAAAACCCGACAAGTCACAAAATGTGGACATTGGAGTTAACGGGCGATCCTTAATCTTATTTATTATTTACATTGTATGCCTATAAAACATCATTGGAAATATTCGTGTTCCAAGCAAAACCACACATATCCATAAAGTCCCTTGCAGCCAATGGAGTTTAAAAAAGTTCTCAGCTTTGCATAGTGTATTATTTTTGTTCGGAAACTTGGAAAACATCGAAGTTTGAAGAACATCAAAGGGCTTCAAGCCCGTTTGCAAAAACTGGATAAACATAGCGATAAACAATTATTTTTATTTAGAAAGGAGTTTCAGAAAAGGGTCGTCGTGCGTTCCCGCGTTCCCGTGCAGGCCAACGATTTTTTGTGCGTTTTCAGCCGAATTCTACAAAGCAACACCTGCTCAAGAGATGTTGAAATTGGGTAACAATTTAAAGATTCCCCGTAACAAAATTCCTCTCATTCATCCAATTAGTGTTGCTAAGAAAACAGACGTAGATGAACTATTATGTAGCCTCTATGGCCAAAACTGGAAAGAATATGAAAGTTTTTTTGTGGTGCACAAATATCGTAATTAGCGAAAATGTTGCCACTGTTCCAGAGGAAGAACAAGAGGGCGAGAATAATGAATGTTTCTGCTTAGAACATGACGAGGCATTCCAAGTTTGAAGACATTATTGAAAACCCCCCATGTCCCAACTTCAATGCGATTTATATTAATTCCACAACTATGCGATTTAAATAACAGATTTATGTTTCAGTCGAATTATAAATGACTACATCAAAAATTACCAGGACAAATTGAAAATTATACTGTAAAATAGGTTTTCGAAATTTGCAAAATTCTCGAATTGGCGGACTTGTGGGGTTTTGCTTGGCATCCCCTCATTTACAAGTAATAAAAATTAGATTAATCAAAATATGGAAATTACCTGTATTAATTGCTATGATAGATCGTGATCTTTCTTCTGCCGGAGCCCATTGGCCTAAAATTACTTGCTGTGTCGGAAACATAAAACCTTCTCCCAACCCTGGAAAAAGGTATTACTATATTTTCTTCAATACAGATATTGCACTGTATGCACTTAATCTTTACGATATAAACGATTAATTACCAAGAATCCATGTGAATATAATTCATTGCCAAGAATATGTTTTTGTTGCAACTTTATTTGAGCAACTGTAGCAATAGGGTGGTTGCAGATTTTTTTATTTGTTGAAATTGATTAGAGACGAATTGATTAGAAGACAGTGGATTAGAGACGAGAAATTTATAAGAGACAAATAAGGGTCCTACAATTTTTTCCCGAATTCTGCTTAGCCATAACGAATTTATCAGCAGTCAAAATTTAAACGCACACGAAGCGCGCCGAAACGACGTATTTTTGTCTAAAGGCCTGAGTTCGCTTGTGCGATTGATGCATGCGTCTGACGCAATTGCGCGTCCATCGCATGCGTCATAGGTGAGTTCGCTTGTGCGTCTAAAAGTTGAGAAAAGTCGGCAGCCCAAGCACAGCCCAAAGGAAAATTTGAGTAGTTGATTAATTAGCATTATGGAGCTTGCATTGGCTCTTTTATTAGAAGAAGAATATTATAAAACCATGATTCCGTTATTAGTTACGAACAGAAAATCTCATCATTCTATGTACAAACATCGATATATGGATGATACTAAATTCCACGCTTATTTTCGCTGAAGTAAAAATCAATTTCATTTATGTCGACGGCAAATAAATATAAACATTGCAGTGAAATCACTTGCGTCTCGCCGCTGGACTGGTCCGTTACCACCGAAATAAAGAAGGCCCACTGGCTGAATTGTGACGTCACTTAAAGTAGTCCGACCAGGCATAACGCGTAGCGAAGTATATGATGGATCAACTGTACGAATATGAATATTTTAGACAAAAATAATGTCTTCAGGAATTAATACGCTTTTTACATTGTTCGAATTTAAATGATTAGCCTTTCTATTCCTAAAAAATGAACGTAGTTAACTAGCCACAAATATTTTAATTTCAGTTATAGCTTAATATTTCATGTTTCCTCATTTCGGCAGTAACGACTGGTCTCGATAGCAGTGCCTGCGTGCCGACGTTGCGTCGGACTTCAGACGCTAGACGTCGACGCGCTAGTAAACCCCACAGAACATACCCCCTGGGGGATATTTTGTGGTAAACCCATAAAGGCCGGGACACATCTATCCGATCTGACTCCGATCCGACTCCGATCCGACTCCGATCAGAGAACCTTCCGTCGATGACCAAATAATCGGATCGGTGCGTGATCGGAAAGGGGAAGCCAGACATGTCATACACGTTTCAGTTCCCGTTCCGATTTTTGGACGAGTGCAAATCATAGATTATCAAACTATTCCTAAGACTAAGTCCAAATGTATTAATTGGCTTTACCGTTTTTCATATAGACACTCGGATGGTTTASTTTGAATATCGAAAACTGAAAGCCGAACTAGATATAAGACTTTTGTTTTATGTTTTTAGGCTATTTTAGGAAACTATAGCTTGCCGAATTAAGCCAAACTAACATGATATTTAAAAATGCTTTAAGCATGCTTAATATAAAAGATAATAATCATATTAATAGGGATTTGTTTTCCACTTGTTGGGGGATCAAGTTCTAATCTAACCTGATCCGGCTCGAAAGGACCAAATGATGGGGGATCAAGTTCTAAACTAACCTGATCCTGCTCGTTTGACCAAATGTTTGGGGTGGCACTTTTATGACCTTGGTCAAATCCAGTTTGTGAGACCGAAATGTACTCGTCTCACTTGGATAAATAATTTAATATGCCAGACACGAGTAATATGGGGGAAAATTTCTTTGTTCGAAACCAATGAGTGTGGAGTACCAGTGTTTGGTGGGTATCCTTGTGAGTAGTTGCAGGTGGAAATAAAATCTGCCAATTTGAGATGTGCCCGCCGAACTTGCACGGGCGGCACGTTTAATTTGCCACTTTTTCTAATTGGCCTGGGCCGTACGTTCTTTAAAATGGGCTGAGTGGCGTAATTATTCTACTTGAGTGAGGAAATGTTTCCAATTAGTTCACTTGAGCACTGATTTGAATTGAGGGTGAATAATTACGGGTTGGGTTTTGAGGCACTTCTCTGCCAGAGTCTGCGATGTGTATTGCTTTGAGGCGAAACACTCCCGATTTGTACGACTTGAGGAGAAACAACTAACTGCGTTCGATTGAAAATCCAAACTGTGTTCGACTTGAGGTGAGAATAAAAACTGTTTTCGAATTGAGGAGACACGACAAACTGTGTTTGAGTGAAAATACAAACTGTGGTCGACTTGAGGTGCGAATACCAACTGTGTTCGAGTGAAAATACAAACTGTGGTCGACTTGAGATGCGAATACAAACTGTGCGTCTTTGGTCACTTTTTCAACTGAGGTAAAGAGGAAATCACAAGTGCAAGGTGAGGGAAACAGGGTATTTATGTTATTTGCTTTTTGCTCAATAGTCAATTGTTGCCGTTCTGATTTCAGAATGCCCTTTGTAGTAGACATTTGGTATATAGTGCATTCTGATAAGTAAACTACTTGGAAACGAAAACAATTACCAATTGCATCAAGACTTTCACGTTTGTCATGCAATTCGAGCAGTTCTACCGCTTAGCGGGGTGTCTTAGATTCCCAATTGGCCCGACAGACACGGCTGATTTGGGACCTTAACGGGAATCTTTAACAAGGGCGTACCGTTTCCGGAATTCAACATTGAAACGTAAACTTGGACGATAACTGTATCTATTGTTTAAATGTTATTTGAACACCACTCGTATTTCCGGTCCATATGTTAGTTATTAATAATTTATTGCCAAAAATTCAATGCGATGCGATTTTTGTCTTTTTGTTTATAATATTATATAATAATGGAGTAATCGGAATGCCCAACGAGATGATTTGTAGAGAATAAAAATGATCGGAGTCGGATTGGATAGATGTGACCCGGCCTTTAAGCGTTATATGACGTCGCAGGGTATGTTTCAGCTCGGCATAAATTTGAGATTATTAATAGAAAACGATCTATTGACCCTCCTGAACGAAATGAAAAAGACTAATAGATAAATGACGCCTTACATGCGAACATAGATACTACCTAGTACATCTAAAATGCCTGATGTAAATTTATCATCTGAAGTGGAGAAATGGCACGATCAGGAACAAATAGAAGATGTTACAAGAACAGGACACTTTGCTGGATGTAGTAGGCTGACAAGTAAATTTAAGACCGAAACAACAATGCAACGTTCGCACAGTTATAGTTTGTCAGAGTTGTTCACCTATTAAGTGCTCAACTACTAGTATTGCATTATCTCGAATAAAAGTGGAAGCGGTTATGAAAAAGTTATATTCCTCATCAGGGTCAAGTTTAACAAGTGAAATTTCAAAGGACATATCAGAATTTTGAGGTACCACTTGTCTGAGAGATCACTCTTTTCAAGTTCAGGAAAAGGTTTAAATTTAATGAAAATGATACCAATGCGGAGTACAAGCAATTTGAATTAAAGCACACTTTTCAAAATTCAAGCTAATCCAAGATATTACCTGAATATACTTGGGAATAAATGATGACACTTTATTTATAAATACTTCGAGATACTAAAAAATGGGATTGCAAATATTCGCAATTCGCCTTGACAAAACTTTTGCTGAACTAGGTGATGCGTTTAAGATTTTTGCAAAATCTCTTCCATTAATTAGCGGGGTGTTTAATACTTTAATAGTATACGTGATATAGTTAAAAGACGTCTGTCTACCTATACCTTTTCGTGCACATTATAGTAAAGCTTACGCCATAACCGATTGCTTAGAAATTTAAACTTCATTGATCCATCCATCCATCCCTGAGATCCATTGAAATACGCTCATGTAGCAATTCAATCAAATACGCTTTATTATTTTACGTTTCATCTGTGATTGAATTTAAGTCGTAAAAACGCTTATCTTGCTCATATGCAATATGCAAGTGTATATTCCGCTTATCTGTGCTGATTATGACCATATAAGTAGCGTAGGAAGTAGCGTCACAGCCAGTAAAACCGCATTCTGGCGCCACGTCACTTTTAAAGCGAAGACACAAATTTTGTTGTTTACAAATTCGCTATAGGCATTCTTCTAAATGACCCGTACGCTAATGTTTCAAGAAGTTTCAATCAAAGAAAAATGATGTGCAAAGACCCTATTGATACATTTGGCAAAATATTATTATAAAATACTAAACACTGTGTGAGTGAATGTGTGAGCTTGAAATTACATGAACGATTTACTCCAATGCCCGTTAGTTATTTCATTTCATATTCATATTCGTTTTCCAAAGATGTAAAGCACCTGCATTGGGCGATAAACGAAAGAAAAAACTATACATGACAGAATACTGTTGTTCAAACCTTGTAATAGGCGACACGCTAGTGCTCCAAATTCTCCAAATAATGCTGCAATTGCAGGAAGCAAAGTGTATGCTAAACAATTTAAAAATATCGCTCCAAGAAAGAACCATTTAGGACCAAACTTCTTTTCTAATGGTGCTGCAACAAGGTTCGAAACCACATAAAGCCAGTAGAACGATGAAAGGATTATGTTGCTATTTTTCCAGTCATAATAAGTCTGAAACAAAAAAAATATAAATAAAGGAAGGTCATATAATTTTTTATTCAGGTAGATAGTTTAACTTTACATGGGTCTCTATTAGAATTTTCGTATTTAAATGGTAATAGTTAAGTTGAAAGGCATGTGAGTGCAGTTTGATGATTCAAGCCGTTTGGGCTGCTTGGATGCCTCAGATAAGAAAAACGACCCGCGCAGATACTGATTAAAATAAGGATCAAAATACTCAAAACACATCGGTCATCATCAATCGATACATTGACAACATGTTAAAGTGAAGCATTTTAAATAATTGATAATTTAAATCAAGCTGTTTGCGAAACAACAACCTTAGATATCCGGTGTAAAAATTCAATTGACTGGATTAAATTGCATATAAAAGTACTTGTTGCATTTAATCATGCAAGAATAATGTATGAAATGCAGCCATTTTCTTATGAATCCTTAGAGTAACTTTCATAAATGCTATTTTTTTTCTTCCATGATACATGCAATGTAAGATAAAGTAATAACGAGTAAAAATTAGTCCACTTCACTCGGTTAAGTGGGGATGATATTGATCAATTAGTGTCGAGAATGTAAGAGCAATAGTATTAATAACAATCAATCAAGTTATCTTTTCATTTGTATATCAATTGTTAGTTATGCGGCGTCAATTTAACTGAAGTGTCCAAGTCTCTACACAGCAAAGCAATCCAGCTGGGTACAAAAGACGATAAAACTGAATCAATGAAAATCGCCCGCTTTAGTTAATACAATGAGTTACCTGTTGTAAAGTGTGACACGATAATTGATCAGTATATGAAATTTTTGGAATGTTTTGTCTGTGATAGCGAAAGCTACAGCCATCCATACTATTACCCAAAATTGACTGAAAATACTGTTAGATACATATTAAGATACTGTCTATCTACCACCACAATTTGATTATTTTACTTACGGGGATGTCGGGGTTTGATGAAGAGGAATTCTGAGCAGTCATTGCTACTATTTGCACTGCAAACGATCCTCTAGTTGCAATACCAATTAAAACACAATAGGACAGAAGCAAAATTTGCACATGCCTGGCTCCGAAAAGTGGACCTGAAAGCGAAAAGAGACTTTCATAATTAACCAACAAGACCACGTGCTTAGTTAGGATTTGGGTTTAGTGTTTCGGTTTTAAATATATTATTCTTTGCAGTTGCATGTGAATTTGATAAAAAAAACGTTCGTTTTTGGATCTTTAATCAATAATAAATTCGTACCTTTATTTCCAGTGTAAATTCCATTCACCAATTCGGCTTTGTTTTCTTGCTGCCCAATTCTTACTTTTTCTGGAAACATTTTCAACTTTGCAACTTTATAGCATAAAAACGACAATGAGTCTAAACTATCCAGTCACAGAATTATGGGCTTTTTGAGTAGGGTATTCATAAGCATCAACCTGAGATAACGATAGCGTTCAATTGGTTGCGAATACATGTTACTAACACGCTTTTCACCCAAACGACCTATGTAGCATTTGGAGCATATTTTAATTTAATGCATTGTTGAAGTGTTTTCAATGCATGTGCATTTAAATAACATGTTTTGTTGAGATTTTGGTGAAAATCTGTAAGGTGGCGTGGTGATAACCAATTTCGCAATTATAGTTGATGATTTATTTGTTATTTTGATATATTGCTTACAGTTCTTTATTTACTACTAACTAATTATATAGGTACGATAGTCAAAGACATTTAGAACACAAAATAAATATATAACAGTGAAAGTCAATTAAATAATATCAGCTACTCATATCGCGGGTTGCTGTGTAGGGTTTCAAAAGTAGATCTTCTCAACTGAATGTTCGAGGGCGCAGAAGACGAAGGTCCATTCCATTTCTGGCGCGTGGCAGAGGAAAAAAATCCATATAAAGTAGAGCATATAAAGTAGAATCCAGATGCAATCACAAACACTGCTCGCCATTGCAATCTATCACTCTAAAATAAATACGAAATTTGAAAATGAATGTTTTAGTTTAATGTAAATTGATTCAAACAGTTCCCTTGAGAATTTTTTAAGTTTAAAATACCAAATTTTTAAACGCGAAAATTGTTGGGAGCGTCGAACAGTTTTGAGACGAAAAGAAAGGGTTTATCAACGCGTGGTGTGATTATTTCATACAACAATTTTCATTAGTACTCTAACCGCTTACTTTGCTCCTTTGATAATTGGATTATGATGATAATAGTTTCATTTTCTACCAATTTTATAAATATTTCTGTTGCTTAAAGAACTGATATTTCAACCACAATAAAATAATTTGCTTACGCGATCCTTAACTAAAAAATGCACTATCAAAGGCGAAAACATAGCAATGGCCTGACTGATAGCGTTGCTGATGCCTTGCAGAATGCCGGCAAATCTTGGTGATAGATCTACATGGTTTACAGAATAACCCACTAATGTGGCCGAATACGCTATATTTGCTAAGGAGAGCAGGACGACTGCAAAAGTCCTCGTACTGGACACATAAGCCAAAATCATGAAGGATATAACTAAACCATAAGAACCTACAAATAAAATACATACATTTTTTTTAAGTTTCAAAAAAATATGACTCAAGTCTATCGTGCGTGATAGGAAGTTACCAAGCACTTGAAAAGTTCTTCTGGATTGTATGGTCGTGAGCCAATTTTTCCCAATTAAATAATCAGATAGGCGCGCAAATATAAAGCCAGTCACAGCACCAGCCATGTAAGGTATTGCACTCACAACACCATTCTGGAAAACTAGTTTAAATATATTCGAATTTATATATCTACTTAAAAACCGTAGATACCATTTAAAAGACAATGAGACGGTTATCAATCGATAAGTATGTATACTAATTTTATTAGTGCTGGTAACTTACTGAAGATATCTCAAATTTCATCACTTTGCCCAAGTAAGTGGGAATTTGAGTCATCATCATCGCATACCCCCATGCAGAACCAATATTAGCAGAAACTATCGACCAAAAGTATTTGCTGGTTAATATCGCCTTCCATGGTACTGGTACGTCCTTAAACACCAAAAAATATATTTGTTTGACCCATCACTTCCAAGCATTTAAGAATTGAAACTATAATGCCAAGTTACATTAGAATATTTCATATACATACTTCGGAAGTATTAGATTGACCAAGAGATGTTTCTATATAGCGCCTTTCTTCCATCTTTATGGAAGGATGAACAGCTGGGCTGTTGTACCCAAATTGAAAATATAATACACACCAAACTATACCAGCAACAGCAAATATATAGAATGAGACTGGCCATCCAGCCCACGAGGAGCATACATATCCGGTTATAATAAAAGACAATACGGAGCCACAACTTATTCCTGAAAATAAACTTTTTCGCATTTACACTAAACGCAGAAGAAAGCTTCATGCAACAAAGAAATCTTAAAATTTAAGTATAACCAAACAAGCCGAGTAGAGCTATGCTGCTAATTACTCAGTGGGTGGAAAACCCATAAATATATACGTTAGAACTGTGTTCCGTTTCCTTAAAAATGTTACTGTAATAAGATACATATTGTAGTTAAGTTCTATATTGTTGAGGCGGATTCATTTTTTACAAACTTCTTTTTGGGTATTTCGTCTCAAAAATTTTTGAGGCGAAATACCCAAAAAGAAGTTTGTAAAAAATAAAAAAGATACATATTGTGGTTTCCAAACTTGAAAATGGTTGGGAAAATGGTTCTGATTTACAGAGCGGATAGTTCCTTCTACATAATGCTTTTTAAAATATCTTGTTGCAATTTTTGATCATCAGTAAATTCTCAATGGTACCATTAAAACCAGTGATAATAGCTTCTCCTTATTGTGTTTTAGGTATTGACGAAAATGTTCTAAAATTCTCATATTTATATATTCTCATACAGGGTCGATTTCATGGGTGGAAACGGTGGATTATTTCCTAAACTAAGAAAGCTAGAATAAAATGATTAATACAAAAATGAAAGGTTGTTTTCAGTATATTTGCATAAGAAAAATTTTGAATACATGCGGGTCTATTCTGTACGCTATCCGTTAAAATTATAGCGGGCCGGATATGGTTAAAATCAACAGCTGATCGAAATAACTCAAAATGGTATGCGCCTCGGTAAGGCTAATATTAACCATCAGGGTTAAATTTTAGCGGCACCCAAATCCGCCATAGTCAGTCAAAAAGCTATGGCAAAGCGAAGTTCATTTTTCTTGAATGGAATAGTCAGTAATTGAATTCTCTTCGACATTCTAAACAAAAATCTTATAACACATTACATGCTTATATTTAACCGTTTTGAAGATATCGAGTTTACAGTAAACAGACAGAATTTAAGTCGCTGAACTAAATATTCTAATTATATATGGCAATTTCGTGACTTATTCTATCTTGAACCTCTTCAATATTTTGTGGCCTATTTTTAAACAGAAAAAAGTCAAGTGGGTTCAAATCGGGAGTTCGAGCTGGCCCTGTAATTGTCCCCTGCGATCAATCCATTTCTCAGGAAAAGTTTGATTTGGAAATATTTCAATACGCTCAGTTTCCCTTAAACGTGCCATTTTAAAGCTCAAATAATTCACAATAATTATATTCGTATAAAACGAAGTTTTGACAGTCATGTCAATTAGAGATTAACTGTTTAGAACAAAATAATGACTCGGCGGTGTTATAGTTACCTAAACTTTCTCAGATAACTCGATGAACGGTGTTTTATATTTGATTTAATAATTTGGCGCTTTGATGTAATAAAACATAATTTTGACAACTCGATATCTCCAAAACGGTTACATTTAAACATGTGTTGTATAATTTTTGTTCAGAACATGGATAATAATTCAATTATTGAATCGGACAGAAGAAAGGTAACATTGCGTTGCTGTGACTTTATGACTGATCCTGTATAATACATTTTCTTTTATGTAAATATACCTTACAATTTTCGAATTCATCGTTTTATTCTAGGTAACTTAGTTTCGGAATTAATTCATTCACCGTTGCCATAAATAGAAACGACCCTGTATATCATTTTATGTAAACTAGAACTAATTTGTATTTATTTATTGTCGATTTATTACGCACATACATTCTTAGATATATGGGAAAAACACATCAAATTACATGCGCTAAGTTGCTTACCTGAATAAACGATCATACCCATTAAACTTCTTTCTTCGGTAGGAGACCATGTTCCAAGTACGGTATGTGCACAAGGAAACAAACTACCTTGAGCAAGACCTTAAAATCGTGAAACAATAAGGGAGGATTTAAAAATGCATTATAATTGTTTGTCAAGTTATTTTTTGATTGTTGAATTTTCCTTTGGGCAAATTTAATAACGGATCTTAGGCAAGCAATTTTTATATTAAAGAAACATGAAAGTGAAATAACTAAAATTATGCTTCTTAACCATATTAAAATAAAATAAAATTAGTGAAAATAATGAGCAGAATCGCATGTTGCATGACAAAAATTACGAAAAAGTCTTACCTTGTATTACCCTCATTGCTATTACGCCGTCCGAACTAGCATATTTTGCAGATACAGGAATTAGGGAGAAGGAAAGGGCATTGACTATAGAACCAGAAAGAAGTAAATATTTTGGCCCGTACTTCTTTGCTACATATCCAGCGAATACTTGGAAGATTATATAACTCCAGAAAAAGGACGAAAGCATAACGCTGGTGTTGTTCCATGAGTATGTCTAGAACACCACAAAAATCGAATAATATTTATAGCTCACAAAGTACTGTTGCGCCCAGAGAATTAGGAAGAGAGAATTATGCCCTTACGGGAACATCATGGTTCTGAGTAGTTTTATTGTCCGTCATGGCTACAATGGCAATGGAAAAACTTGCTCGCATCGCTATACTTAAAGTGAGACATCCAAAGATGAATATAAATTGCACGTGACGTGCCCCAAATCTCACTTTTTGACCCTGCGCTATAATACTAGATTCCTCTTTAGTATATTCTGTATCCTGCATTCATCAATATTTAGTCGCTCAGAAAACTGTAAAATTGGTCAATGGATGTGTTTCAGAAAAAAGTCTCAGCTATAATGTTTTGGTAACTTACCGCCAAATTGTATTTTCGAATTTAAGTTTAGCTCATTTTTCAGTTGAATTTAACTGAGAGCTGGATGCGTCCAAGAAGATTCAGAATCTGAGAAAATATTGGCGTCTACCAATGTCAAAAAGCTTGACAAAAACAGTTAATGATGTGTAACCCCAATTTTAGTTTTCCATTTTTTTTCTGGTTTTTAAATTTTTATGATTTGTCTTTACAATCTAGACTCTTTAGCAATACAATCAGTACTTCAGAAATAATCTAAAAAAAATTCATCAATGTATAATAAGTATTAATGACACATCAAGAATGCGTAAAATTTTTAGTGTTCAGAAGAGAGCCAAAAATCCATAACACGTTTCCACTTTATGGCGGATTACACATTTTATGCCAAATGCGGTAATCTAATTGTTACATTTTTTTATTGTGGTAATAATTAATAAGTCGAACTATCAAGGAATTTCGCGCAATATAAATTTGAATATTACTACTGATTCTTATCAAATAGCTAACAATGTTATCAAAATCAAAATCCTTTACACGATCATGGATAATATAGTAACTATAGTAATACGATCTTTTTATTTGAGTTTAGGAATTAAATTTTCGGGATAGTTAAGTTACATAAATTTACATAAACGGCTTCTGAGGTCGGTTACATAATATACATTAGCATATATGAAAAGCTGCAAAGATTTGGCAGGGCAAATAGACACAGGAAGCTAAGCAATTTAAATGAGAAATAATGTTTTTTCATGGTTAAGAAAGTAATAAGAATATCTATTTTATTTACGTATGAAAAGAGTGTACTGTAAAAAACAGGATATTAGGTTTAAGAGTAAAATCTTTTGTATTTGTATGAAATAGATTCGCCTGGTAAATGGTTTGTTTTTTTTCGAGTATTTCTTTTAACTTTTTGTTAAGTAAATAGATTCGAGGAGAAATCAATAAGAATCCCATTCAGCGTGAAATGCTATAATAGATTTTACTGCTTTTGTAAATATGACGATTCTCTTTGAATTATTTCGCTGCATTTTTATTTAGCTGTGCATTTTTCCATTATTGCAAACTAATTTTATTTGCCTTTAGTGTTTCTTCTATCATGAGGGTGTGCGGAACATTTGCCAAAGTATTGTTCCTACTTAGGAAAGTCTTAGTTTGAAGATGTCTAGTTTTTTTTATTACGGTTAAATTTTTGGGTATCTAGTATAAAATACCACCGACAATGGATTGTAATGTGTTATCAAATTTTTTAATTTTGTAAGACACAGCTTTTAATGCTCTACCGGGACGAAATACTTTAAACGATCCCTTTCTTGCTGTTCTCAAGAATGTATGATACATTAACTCAATTTACTTTTTTATGATATGTATAAGCACGATAAGACTAGGAACATTTTCATATTTATTTATTGACTACCTTTCTTCACTATACATCCATAAATACATGTTAGCATGTTGACTTAATTGCATGCTTTGAGAAGTTATTAAGTTAAATTTCATTGCATTTGATCAACAAATCTCAAAACTACTAAACGTTTGTCCTAATATTAAAAATGTCGTATACACAAGTAGAAACTACCACTTAGTTTCAATATAAGCGTACTTCTCATAGGTATATTAGGAAGCAATTGAAGTATCACAGTCTCTTCCTTCGGATTAGTTCAAAACTTTGGCTGTTTTAGTTTTACGGATTTTTCGTAGATTTTTCTGAAAATCAAATCAATCAGGTCAATTTTCAATGCTTATTATAAGAGCTAGTCGGAACTACCTTCAGGATCTTCATTCCATGCTTGCACTTCTCCAGTACCAAACAATACGTAAAATATATCGGTTGCCACATATACTCCAGCAGTCATAAAAAAAATGATTTTCCATTGTTCTGGATCATCCTAAAATGTAATTTGTATGCTCAATTTCATCAAAACGTTCAATGATTTGTTTGCATCTTTCATTCCTGGCATACATTTTATTACTCTAACACTACTGACTCTTAAAAGCTCTCTTTCTTTAAAATTCTCACCTCATTTGATACCAAAAATTGAACTAGTAACGGTGCGACGATTCCAAATATATTGGAAATACCATTAGTGATCCCCATTAAAATGCCAGCATGATTTGGGGAAATATCTACGTGATTTACATTGAAACCACAGAATATGCCTGAATTGAAACCAACAGCCACTACTAATAAAGCTACCGCTCGTTTCGGGTCATCGGACGGGGTGAATCCAAGAAAGACAAGAGCTATAGCAGGAATAATTAAGCCTGAAATAAAAAATCTATTATATCTTGACTAATCAAATTATATATTTGCAAGCTTACCGATTGAATTGAAAACCTTTCTTGTATTTCCTATGCTAAGAATTCGTCTAGTGATGAGAGAATCGGATGTGAAACTCATGATAAAACTGAGAATCCAAAGCACAAAGTATGGGAGGGCGGATAAAATACTATTCTGAAATAAATAATAATTTTCTAATAATCTTACATTAAAATGTCGCTAATATTTTCAATTTCCAAAAATGTAGTATTGAGTATTTGGATATTCGCTTACCGATTTGATATTGAAATTCATTACGTGTCCCATATAATTAGGGATTTCAGTCATTAGCGTCCAAAAGCCCCAGTTTTGACCACAGTGGCTGACCAATATGGCCCAAAGCGGAAGAGATGTGAAAATCGACTTCCAAGGTATTTTATGGCTCTAAGTAAATAAAACAAAGTTAATATATTACGAAAATTGCAACCTCTAAGTATTCAAGCTGCTTCTTCCTTAACTTTGTAAGTAGTATAAGTCTATGTTTTCAGACTTTTTGGGTGGCCAGTTGAAAAATTGCATCTTCAGTTACTTGAGCGGACATAAGAGATGGCATAATTTTTGTTTGTTCAAATACCAAACAGCAGCTTGAAATCCTTTCACAAAATAGGACGGTACCAGTGAATGTAACTGTAGGTTATTTTTCGAATTCGCGGGTTTTTCCAGTTGTATAACTGTTATTCGAACAAATATAAAACTCTCTGTTATACTAAAGAACTTTTCGTGTTTAGTGCATTGTCGAAATAAATATTGCGCATAAAATTCTCCCGCTTGCTAATAATTAAATGTTGTAAAAAACTATAAGAAAATTCTCTTAAAATTGCACCAAGGAAAGAGAAACAAATACATACAAAATATTATCAAAAGAAGACGTTTTAGGTATTGAACAGTAACATTAATGGTTGTTGTTATTGCATCATCACTGACAAGGTGCGGTTCATTGGTTCTGTACCTAAATACTGATAAATCAGTTTACTAGTCACCAAGATTTAGACAAAATACTGATGGAAAGCTCACGATTCACAGCTTAAAGTGTAATTTAGATAAGTCGCATCACTTTCGACATAACAAATCAGGCACTGTTCACTTACTGGCTTGCCTTCGCTGTGCCCCAGATTATACTCGATGAAGAATTTTTCTGCTTCACTAATTCTTGGATGAACAGCCGGACTATTATATGTAAATACGAGGCAAATTATTGTCCAGGCTACTGATGTTCCTCCATAAACATAGAAGACTAACGGCCAACCAGCATAACTAGCAGAAATAATTCCAGTTAACAGCATGGCTATCACGGTTCCAAAAGGACCAGCTGGAAAGGATTTCAATATGAGAATTATTTATTTCATTTATCAGAATACAGGCAATATTGAGCATTGCTAGTACCTGCATAGACAATAGTTCCAAGTCTAGACCGTTCATCAGGTGGTACCCACTGGCTTAGCGCATGATGAACGTTAGGGAAGAGGAATCCTTGGCAAAGCCCCTGAAGAGCCCGGTTTATCATAACGCCCTTTGACCCGAAAGCAGCAGCCATGGCAGGCAGAAGTATGCACATCGTACCGCAAATTCCCATAGCTCCCATCAGGAACCATTTAGAACCTGAAATTCATTTGAAATTTACTGCACCCGAAAATGTGTTTTTAGTAGAAAAACGTTATCCAGTTTAATATATAGTATGCAAAATTTAATTTAATTTTGATAACTGTTTAAATATTAAAAATATTTCAACAAAATCAACGTACCATATCGTCCAGCTAACCAGCCAGCAAATATTTGGGGTATTACATATCCCCAGAAGAATGCTGAAAGCACTATACTTTTGTCATGCCATTCTGGGTAAGTCTATAACAAAATAAAGTAGGAAATCACAATAAAGCATGAAACCAGTGAAGAAATAATCACTTGCCGGTACATTTGGATTACTGCTAGCTGTAGGATCTGTCATAGCAACGATCGCTACCGAAAGGGTGACTCTGATTCCATATGCCAGGAAAATCAGCAGGAATAGAACTAGGACTTGAGCATGACGAACTCCGATCGTAGGGGCTGAAATGAAATATGCGAATTTGATAAAATATTTATACGAGCTGATAACAACTTTAATTTTCTCTCTAACATCTAACGAGCGTTGAATGATTTGAGATAAAATGTTCTCACTGAGTACAGGTGTTCTTACATTCCAAAACGTATTTTGTGTATTTTAAAAATTATCATAATTTAAGTTGGAAAGGCGGTATAAGATGATACTGGGTGCAAAACAAAACACACGTCTCACAAAAAAAACATGTGTCCTAAACAAAGCGTTGAGCGTTGAGACTACGGCTTGGAATCAAACTCGAATAATTCGAGTATTCGAATATTCAAAAAGCAAATAATTATGTCTAGTCATAACTCGAATATTCGAATACTCAAATATTCGAATATTCGAATACTCGAATACTCGAATACTCGAATACTCGAATACTCAAATAATCGAATACTCGAATATTGTTTTTGTATACTTTTATAAAATAACTTATTCATATTCTATAAGCATTTAAACAAATACCCATATGTTTACAAGCAAATGAAAATAATCATTTACACTCCTGCAAATGAATATAAAATTCAAGTTACAATTAATGTGCGGATAAAGGCACTTTTCTATCCGTTGCGGATAATTGCCAAAAAATGAGATAACGATTTTTCTTCTTAGAAAACGGTGAATGAAAAACGAATACTCGAATACCCGAATATTCGGATACTTGGATATTGGAATATTCGAATACTCGATTATTCGAATATCAGATTTTTGAACCACTAAACGAGTATTCGAATATCAGATTTTTTAAAATTCCGATACTATTTTGACAAAGAGATTCTCAATTACGAATCCTTTTGTGTAAAAGGGCCGATTTTTTTTATCAATGATCAGTAAATTATCAAATATTTATGAATAATGTAATATCTGAGCTTTAGCCACATCCCGAAGCATTTTCACAGTGACACTATACATTAAACATTTAAAATCTTGGATCATCCGATTTAAAATAATTTAAAACATGATTTTCCTGTCGTGACTGTATGTGTAAGTAACATGTGCAGCTTCCCGTGTTTTTGACCATCATAAATGAGTCGCATAATTAATTCAAGCAAATAAATTGTATTTTAGATTTTCGTAATGAAATCATCGATCAGCAAATAGAAGCGGGAGACGCGATAATTTTGCTATCCATATATTATATGCCATTAAGCAATGAAAATCGATAAACCAATCCAGCTGATAATGAAAATTGCGACTTACAATGAACCGCACCCAGAGGCTGATATTTGTACCGTTGTCCAAAGCTAAACATTTTTGCACTTGAACTGCTAAAATTTCATGAACGTGCACTCTACCCCATCAGAAAAGCTTTGTTTTTTTAATGCCACACTTGAACCATCTTGAACCGATCATTAAATATGTTTATATATTGTAACAAAATATAAGTGAACCTGATCTAGAATCTCGACTGAGACTGGGATACGGTTAGATTAATAAATGAATATGGGTAAAGTGAAAGTACATTGTACAGTACGTTGACTCGTACTGGATATCAGTAGCGGAAAACAAATCGTTACTAGTAGAAAAAATTATAACAGAAGATAGGCCAAAATGTAGGCCAATGGCTAGTTGTTGTGTTCTTCTATTTAATAATAACAACTTTTTCCAGTAAAAACGTCCCAACGAGCCAAACTAAATATTAAGATATATTTTATACGAAATTAAATACAAACAGTATAAAATTTCCACAAACACATTCTATTTAGCTCAGTCACAGTTCTGGATTTATTTTTTAATCTGTCAAAAATTTGTTGTTAAATATTTTTGGCTCAATAATAAGGCACTCCAAAACAGGTTTCGGACCTATTTGATTTAACAGCTGGCTACAACTTGCTGGATCAACTTACTAGGCGGCCATCACACTGAATATTGAAGAAAATGGATTTTCATTCGAATTTGAACCTTAACCATTAAACTGCTCCTTGGATTGGAAGGGCGAAAAGCTATTTTCATGTAATCAAGCAGTAATTGTAACTTGCTTATTTTTCGCCGCCAACCCCCCTTTTTTACATGCATTTTCGATGCGCCTCTCACATCTATAATTCACTTCTAATCTGGTCAAAAATTAGATACTTCAATTTATTAAAAATACTTCGGACAAGTGCAATTTCTAATAGTTTTCATGTCATCCTTTAGTGTTTATCAGTTACATTGAATCTATTTGGACATTCGCAGTTTACATTTCGGGCGCTAAACGGTCTTCCTTCCGATAAACTGAAAGCGTAAGTTACAATAACATTATTATTGACCACATAACTTATGTTTATGAAAAATCAAATTTGATTAGGACATATGCTTCTTGAGATAAAGTTAATTAGATTCAGATAAAGTAAAAGTAATTAATATCAATTTATGCTACATTTGTGCCTATTTAAGTAATGATAATTCATGTTTGCTTCAATGTAATCGAAAATTTAGTGAAACAAAGATTAAGCTATTTTATAATTACATAATTTTAAATGGAAAATAGCTCAGTTAATTATAATAAAGTTGAATCTGGACTTTTAAGAAAAACGAATTTAAAAAATAACTTTAACCGAGTGTAGCCGATAGCATTATTTATGCAACTAAAGTCAGAGCAAAATATGTTTAAGCAGAAGCTCTTACCGCTAGTTACAACCGGAGATTTTTCTACCATAGCATAGCTAACTCTTCTGTAAAGACCAATAAAACTGCCTCCAAGACTTCTATAAACAAATTCATTGTTATTTTTCTGATCGGGCATTTTGGCCTAAATTTTATGCAAGAATTTCACACTACACCTGTTTTCTTATCGTAACTAACTGATTTTTGTTCGATTGCTCCAACATTTTTTTATCTCATACTACATATTCCAACTGCCAAATCTTTTAATCCGTTTTATCTTTGGTTTTTATGGCTTGCTCATGTTTCAGTAATGTTGCAATTTTTTCAGTAAATGAAGGTGACAAATTATACATATTATCTAAGAACGTAAATATTACCCTGACCTAAAAAATTACTATAATCAGATGCTTTTTCTTTACAAAGTAATGAAAAAGTTAATTGTTAATCGGATGAAATGGTTAATTTAAAGTGTCTAGTTACTACGCATTCTATTTAATGAGACCTCCTCCAATCTACAAAAATGAATCGAAGGCTTATTATTGAAGAACATTTTCAGAATCAACATTTTTATTGTCGTCATCAAAACTAGCCGAAGTCAGTGGTGAAAATGTCATAGAATTATTGTTTTTGCGATTTGTTCATTTGTGCATAATTACTTTATAAATATTGTAAAGGTAGTCTACCGTAATTAGGTTCTTAAGTCTTAACCTCCTTTTTAAAATGTATTTGCTTGAATTCACTAAGGCATACTGGTGACCTCTAATACCATTTTTCGTCAAGTAAAGTGTGAAGAGGGAGTAATGAGCGAAGGCTAGAAGAAGAAGTATGTAAAACTCATAATAAAAAATGTGATAGGAATAACGAGAATACGTGATTACTAATCTATAATCATAGGAAAATGTACTTAAAAACTTTTATTACGATTGACTTAGAAAGCTTAAAACTCAGCATCTGTGAGTCACATTTTTTGGAACAGTTAAATAATCAGAAAATTTCAAATTATTTTGAAAATTATTAATAATTTCAAAAAACTCCACAAGCCATATGTAGGTAATATATACTTTTTGCATAGGGAGTAATTACATACGGAAACCAGACGTAAGCATGACATTACAGTTGATCTAAAATGCGAAATCACTTCAATCTTTTTAGCTTGAAACGGTTAATTGAAGGTGATTTTGTTAAAGTAAGGTCCAAAGCAGCTGAAAAAATCATTATCTCACCGCAAATATTAATTGATTTTCCTTCAAGTTGAAATGATGCGTATAAATTTGTAATGAAAATATTTGGAAAATTCTCCCAGGAATTGAAGTATTGGCTTTTAAGCAAATAGTCATTTTGCTATTAAGTGTGATTGTATTCCCAGGTTATTTGGAATATTATTTTCTCATTTAAATACCACTCAACTCACTAAACAACAATTATATTGATATGGTCTATAGAGTTTGAATATATATCATTCATTATTTATTCAGTGGAATGTTAATATAGTTATCTAATGATGAGCGTAACATTGACCATAAAGAGAGTAACCGATTTATGAGAAAAAAAATAGCAACCGGGAAGTACCAGCGTTCCCTAATTATATACTGTGTAATCAGTCAAGGTTTCATAGGTGGTTCATTCGAATGTCTCAGTTTAAAACACATTCCTTTCGCAAATTATGTCTGCAAATATCAGGGTTTTTAAGCTTGTGTTGCTTTTAAAATAGTAAAATCATTCACTTAATAGTTAAATCCGTACTAATAAACTAATTGAACATTTGAACAGTTGGACCTAGGTAATACTAAAAATTTGATGGACATCTTTCTCTGGTTCCTACAAATACGACAACACATATTTTTTGCAAGTTGCACTTTCGGTTAGCTATTTTATTTAATGAAAATATTTATTTAAAGAAAATTAAATATTTTGTCGCATGGCGTTATAAAATAGCGTTTCGAATAAAACGCATCTACTCGTGTATAAGTACATGAAAGTTGTTATTATTTTACGCTCATCAAATTTTTTTATCATTAACTAATTGTGGTTAAAACAACATTTTTAATTGTTTATGTCATTTTTTATTTGCTCGAGATCAATACCACTTTGTATAAGATCGTTTGCAGATAAAATCATTGGTGTTGTCTATTGAGTTCAATGTAAAATATATATTAGTGTATAATCCATTTTATGAAGTGCATATCCTTCAGATATACATATAACCTAATTACATTTTTATCAAAAGGTGTGTATTTATTTGCAAGAAATTATGAATAGTATTTCGTATAATTTTATTGATTAATTGGAAAGTTTGCTTTTTAAAAATAATTTATTCCCAAATTAATACAAACGATACATTTTACTTGCAACCGAACCTTAACTATGACTTATCTTAACTTAGACCGTAAATCTTATGACTAACTTTAGACTGAGACTCAATTCTTATAACTTCTGACCAAAAATCTGACACTGACTGAATTCTCGATTCTGCTGTGGCTTCTTTTATAGTTAAATCATGCCGATCATAGCAGAAACGGTACTACGTCTTATTTTATTAGGATAGTCGGCATAAGTGACCATATAATTATATGTAAAAGGGATATACTTGTCCATATCGGAACAAAAATATTCGTCTTGGTTTCATGTATATTTTTTTAAAATTTTTACTGATATGAAACTGAAACTTTGGAGTGCCTTTCAATCCTCTCCTCCAGCAGCAATCAGAGCCTAAGCATTACTAAGAACAGTTATTTTTTTGAATTATCTTGAATAAATTCTGTTAACATTAGTATATATCTTGGTCTAAGCGGTCGAAACTAACTCAGATTTATTGCTTCTTTGTTATATTGAGAGCGCGTATTTTGTTAATGAGTTACTTCCTCCTTGACTCTTTTTGTTATGCGCAAAAATTGATTGACCTAGTTTTGTAAGTCACGATTGGACACTTCTTTATTAAAATACATTTTTGATTATGTGATTTTCAAAATCGCTTCACGTTTTCGAAAATTATCAGTGATTAAAAAATATGTGATTACACTTTTTAAGTTTTCTTCATAATGTTTTCATTTTTAAAATGAAAGAAATAATTTCACTAAAATTTAAACAAATCCTACCTTCAGCTATTTTGTTTAAATCCTTTTCACTTAACGTTTTTTTCGTGTCTATTTGCTTTAGTTCGAACCCTTCTTTTACCATCTTGACGCACTTGATTCAACTCACTAACAACCAATTCGGTCTTATGATTCGACTTGAATATTTGAACAATTTTAGTAGCTGTCCAAATTTTGAAAGTATTGCATATTATGCTATCACAAGCCAGCGTGTGAACATAGCAAAAATAACTGAACTTTTCCCCTTGAGAATGTCGAGGATTAAGCTTGCAACTACCGCCAAGTTCTGCTTTTATATCAGCGCTTTAACCGTTGTGGGGTTACAGAATTTGTTGAATTTTGTTAGAGCATAATGTTTATGTTTGATTGTGTGTTATCGGTTTTCGAGTGGAATTTCTGAAGGGGTCAATTAAATCTGAAAGTTGAAGACTAAAGGTCCCTGTTATATTCAAAAGTTATCGTGTTTATAATTAAGGCAAATTGATATTGCAATTTTCAATCGACTTTTTCATAAGTAAATAGTTTTTCGGGTAGAAACTTTTAGTCAGTTGGAAACTTTAATATTAATGCAAACGTTTGCAGTCATAGAGTCTTAGTGGTAACATTATGTAAAAATTACGTTTTCAGTTTCGCAATGAAAAAGTGATCATTTTAGCATGAGTGTTTTTTCAAATTGTACCGAAACCGCTGTTTTTCACGGGTTCAATAGAACCTCTGAAATCGATAAAACTTTCCAATAAAAGTCTAGGCCAACTCGATTCGTGCTTAACGGTACAACAGATGCTTTGAAAAGTCGTGTAAACTGACTGAATATTTTTTAAATACAGTTCCTCAAAAATATATCAAGATGGGAGCGAATATATTTTGATTGTCTGGTCGTCTAGTTATGGCTTTTTGTGGAAATAGACAGTAGTAAAAGCATTGGGTCCAAAGCTGTTCGCAAATCTCGCTTTTAAAAAAATCAATTGGTGTATTGATAGAAGCAAGAACTACATATAAACTTTTTTGACAACCAGGAAGTTGGTATTAAAAAGTGCCATTTATATTTTATTTGAAATATTGAAAAAGATTACATCATTTACGAACTAACGTATTGACACTTTTATTATAATACAACTTTCTCAATCAAGTTTAAATTTTTTTCCATGGGTCTTGGCCTTTACCTGAATTTTTAGCGTCACACAAGCTTGAGCGTTTTTGGAGGCATTTGAAGTTTCAATTCGTTAAATTTTTGGTTCCGCATTTGCTGCTTATGAAAAAATCATTACATCCGTTTGCCTCTGGATATCTACATCTAATGTTTTGACTTGCTTTAGCAGGTTACTTTATCGGTCGTGAACTTGTAGCACCAAACAACGATGGACATTTTTAGATACGGAATAAGATGTAATTAGTTTTATAATCTACGCGTGTCACACTAATAGGAATGACTGTTAAATTATTTTTTGCCACTTTTAGGACTATTCCCTGCGTAACTATTTAGCATACAAATACTTTTAGGGTCAATACGGATTTAATTTTGTAATCGTTGATTAAGCCTAGCCAAAAAATGATCCCCATTAAAGGGTGTAGTGCATTTAAAATCGCAAGAATTTTAAATCTAAAGTTTAATGTAACTTATTAGGCGGCTTGATTGCCTTTTTTGAGCAAGTCATGTAGTTTAATACAAACTGACTGTGGTAATTCCTAAAATAATCAAAAACGTGTAATTATAATTCTAATCTAAAAGCGACACATATTAACATCATGTTCTTTTACACGGCCATTCCACTTCCTGATAAATTTGACGCTCTTGGTAAGTTTACTTGGAATGAACCGTACAACCTTCTTATTTTTGATGATTTTGAGGATTTAAAAGTGCAGCACTTTTTATCAGCTTTTACATTAATAATATTAATTTGTACCGGTAAATAAAAAATTACTTAAGTTTTAGTGCGTATGTTGTGCGCCACATTATTCTCTTTAGTTGGAGTAAAAGCGGAAGAACCAACCATTTCAACGCTTCTAAATTCATTCCTTGCAAGGACGGACGATCGATTATTTGAGTATTTATAACAGTGTGTACTTCCATTTGTAAATCGAATTATTTGCAATTCATCCTTGTTCAGCTTATTTAGAATATTTACTTTGAATTTGAATCGACCTCTAAAACTGACCCTCATGTGTACACATAGTGTACATCCGTTGACAATTCCGGAATATGCTATCCAGAATTCTTGATTTAGATTTTTTCCAAATCTTTAAAAAATTAAAGGAATAGAGGTAAGTATCTAGTTCTTTTAGCAGTTTCTTGTGAAAGAAGATAGATACCTTTTTTAAGAATAAGTGGCTGAAGTCTTTAAATTTCTTCTTAGAAGCGTCTATCATACGGAAACATTCGGATCTTTTCTAGATATTGTATATTGCCTATCGATTTCAGTAGGTGTTAGAGATTTTGTAAGCAACCAATTAATCATAATTCAAATGAATATAAAACCAAATGTCTACCGCTTTGTTCATGAACAGGTTTTATTCAATTTCATTTAAAAATTCATCAAAAATAATGTTAATTTAAAGGAAAAGGTACATAATTAATCCCTAAAGCTTGGAGGTAAGTTATACGAAAAACCATATCTGGAAGAAGTAACTAGCTTTTATTCAAGAAAATAAGTTTTGGACGAATTTGACTTTGTGGAGACTAAGTTGGCATATTAGCAAAAACATTGTACAAGATATTTAAACAATAAAACTGCTGTTTCTGCAATTTTAATGGACAATTCTCCTATGACATTTTTTGTTCCTGCTTTGGCATATGTATTAGAGATGATCAGTCCCTATGAACTTGATGTCCATTTTAAGTCAAACTATAAAATTTTCCGACCACAATTAGAATTAATGATGCAATTAAAAGTCAGTTTGGTTGATTTACAGGAAACTAATTCCTATTAGGTTTTTATCGCCACCATGCATGAACGTATCAGGAGTGCTCGCGAATACCTATATATACGAGTAAAAATATGAGTTACACATGTTTAATTTGTACATTGATTTTCATTGAAATCGTGTATAATAGATTTTTATTCAAGGTTAGGGTTCGGGTTAGATCTAAAGTTTTAGAAAATATTAGTTGATGTAACTGTTAGCTACTAAGTAGAAAAAAATATGTAGTTTGCATTTTGTTTTAAAATTAATTCGGGTTTGGTATCAAAATTATTTATGTGCACTAGTTTGTCTAGAATATCTAATTTTCCATGCAATGGTTATGTAGTTTAAAAAAAACCATTATCAGCTAGGAGGAATTCAGAATTATCCACTTCTACTTGTAATGTCACATTTTGCAAACTGCAATTATACAAATGAAACTAAAGCAGTAAAATAAATATGACACCGTCATTTAATTCAAAAACAGTTGTGAGAAAAATCAAATGGTCAAACTAAACTTAAACATTTGTTCGAATACAATAAATAATAAAATTAAACAACGCCAACAATGTAAGTATAATTAAAACTGTAGGAAGGATATAAAGAAAATTAAATTATACCTACTAACCGATGTTCGAATATTTCGTAGTGTTTAGAAGATTTGAAAATTTTCCTTTATTTAGCCGACTATAAAAACTATGAGCAAGTTTAAACTAGCTGAAACGTAAAACTTGGTTTGTTGCTGGATAATATATCAACAATACAAATTATCATAGTGTGTAGACAATACAAATTGTTAGGCACAGGCTGAATAAATTAGCGTTATCCAAGCGACTTATTTTCGGTGAATTTAAATTAGTTCCTGACGGCAATTTAAAAAGGGAATGCAAAATAGTTTTTTATCCATGGCGACACTTGGTTATGCATTTTATTCCGGAACTAATTTAAAACGAACTATTTATAATACAGAAAAACATTCTAAGATGAAGATTATTAAGAATAGTTACATTACATATTGCATGGAAATTTGAAAGGCTAAAAAAAAACTTAAAGAACATTGTAGGCGTTTGTTTTGCCCCTAAATTGTAAAAGTATGTTAAAGCGGAAAGAATTGCTAATTAAATTTGATATTTCTTATACAAACCGAGGATCATATAAATTTCTACCCGCGCATTTTGTCCATTTGTCAGCAATTAATTATATGAAACATATTCTAAAAATGTATTCATTACTGAACATGAGAACAACTGTTTAATTGCCTGGGATCGCTTAGAGATGGAAAGTGCGTCTAAGTGCTTTGGAGACGTAGTTTAAAAAAATTACACTAGTTTTTATACAAAAGTATTTCCCAGAAATCAGAAAAATGGAAAATACCTCAAATTAATTTTTTGGTTTTGTTGCTCTAAGCAAGCTGATCTACAGGGTGTCCCGCCGGGAGCCGACGCGATCGATATCTGGCAAACTTAAATTAGGAAAAATTTTAAAATTGAACAGTGTGCCGAAGTCATTGGAGGCGAGCGATCTAAATTATTTTTAAGATGGCGTAGGTACAGGATGTTATTTATACATGAAATATATTTTGAATTTGGAGCATAATTTAAAAATGTAATAATATATAGGTTGTGCTATTGAAAATAAGCAAGTATAAGCGGTATAACCGGAAGTGTCGCCAACTTAAAAATATTTTAGATCGCTTTCCCCCAATGTGTTCAGCCCACTGTTCAATTTTCAAATGTCTCCTAATTTAAGTTTACCAGATATCGATTGCCGCGGTTCCCGGTGGGACATCCTGTATTTAAAGCTGAAAATAGACGATTACGAAAATTAGATTTTTGAATTTTGATTAAATATTTTCCCCACATTTGAGAGACTCAAAATGATCTGTTTAGAGGCGAATTAACCCTTCCTAAATCAACTCCTAAATTTACAACATAATAATAAATTTTAATTGCGTTTATTTATTAAACTTTAAGTAGGTTTTTTTTAATTGATGACTTAGCTCATCTGATTTGCGTTTCCTAGTACCAATGTTCTAAGTTAGGATACCTTAAATACCTTCAAAATTTAATAATTTTTATTGGACTGAAACAAGGAGTAATCAGATTTAAATTAAATGTGCTCATAAGCCTTATTAAAATGGAAATTTCAATAGTGGGGCTTTACTCATGCTGGGCCGTTAAAAAGAAAAATGATGGATTTGTGATTTTAACAATTTACGCTCATTTGTTTTGTAAACACATGATTCGGTTTAATTTACATATTTATATCATTCTTCGTAATTAGGTGCTTTTATTTGCTATAATTCGTATTGTTTAACATGTAGTCGTTACAATCATGGGAATAAACATATATTTATATCTATACGTTTGTTGGCATTTTAACAGAGATAATTCAATAGATG